AAGCCAACGTGGTCTTCAGAGGTGAGCCCGGAGCTGCACTGGCCCTTGGTGGCTCCAGCACCATCCCGGTGCTCACCGTGTGCCCCCCAACGCCACCACAGGGCTCGTGGACAGTAACTGGAGCGTTGGGGGGGTGCTGGAGAAGAAGCTGCTCCCCCTGCCCGTCACCCTGGCTCTGGGCGCCTTCCTCAACCACTGGAAGAACCGTTTCCACTGCGGCTTCAGCGTCATCGTGGGCTGAAGGGGCAGCACCTGCCCTGCAGGGAGCCACTGACCGGGGCCGGACCGGGCCCGGGGCCGGGCCAGGGGAGCCCACGGAGCCTGGGGGACCCGGTATCCGGTGACGTGGGGACACGGGGACGCGCGGTGCCCGGTGGCACCTTGGGGGTGAGGAGCGGGCGCTGTTCAGGGCCTGGGGGGGGTCCCTCCCGTGGCTCTGGGCACACACGGAGCCTGGAAAAATAAAGGAGCTTTACTCTGCTTGGGAGGTGTGGTGGGACCAGTGGGAACACTGGGAATGCTGGGTGGGTTTAGCTGATGATCTCGGAGAGCAGCGGCGTCATGGAGGACAGGTCCTGGATGTGCAGGATCTGCCGCGTGTTCTCCACCTTGAGCGTCTGCAGCTCCGTCAGCAGCAGCAGCAGCTTCGCATAGAGGAACCTGGGATGGGGACATGGGAGATGTGGGATAATGTGGGATAAATGGGATGGGATGGGATGCACTGGGGCTGTACCTGCCCTCGGGCATGGGGTGCCGGTGGTCGATGTAGCTCTTGAGGGTCAGCGCCACCTTCTCCTGGAACTGGTCGATGGAGTCGTGCTGGGTGATGCTGGCGTGGTCTGGGGGTGCAAGGGGGGGGTGTCAAGGGTGGCACCAAGGGGACGTGGCCCCCATCCCATCCCGTCCCCCCCCTCTTGCTGCTCACCGGGTGAGAAGAGCAGCATGGCCTGGAGCAGGACGTACTCGGCCTCGTGCAGCCCCAGCTTCTTGAGGCTGATGTGGAACTTGAGCAGCGGCTCCAGGTAAATCTGCTGGAACCCGGCTGTGGGGAATGGAGGGGGGGGAACGTGGTGATGTGGGGCCGTGTCCCAGTGTCACCAGTGCCCCCCCATCCCATGTCCTCACCCAAGGCACCGTCCTGGATGGTGTAGCAGTGCTGCCCGCACTCCCAGGCGTTGGTCTCGGCGTTGAAGACGGTGTTGAACTGGATCTGGCAGATCTCCAGCGTGGCTCCTTTCAGCAACGAGATCTGGTCATCGATGGGCAAACTCCTGCTGGTGGGGCAGGGGGGACAGGGACACAAAGGAGGGCTCAGGGAAGGGTCCCTCGGGGGGTCCCCAACCCTTTTCCATCTACCCAAGGAGGTTGGGAATGCTCCATCCCTGGCAGTGTTCAAGGCCAGCTTGGATACAGCCTTGGGTGCCATGGTTTAGAGCGAGGTGTCCCTGCCCATGGCAACGGGGTTGGAACGGGATGATCTTAGGGTCCTTTCCACCCCAACCCATTCCATGGTTCCCTGCCCCTCTACCGGGCACCTGAAGGCTGGGATCTCCTTGGCGAAGTTGATGACCTGCTGGATCATGAAGGTGCTGAGGTCGGCGAAGTGGGGCAGCATCGAGAACACATCGGGCAGCACATCCTCATCCAGGCGCTCGGGGCCACCGGGCTCGGGGGGGCTCTGAGGGCTGGGGATGTAGAGGCGAACAGCGGGCTTGGGGATGGGGATGGGGGGGAAGTCAGCACCAGCAGGAGGGACACGATGAGAAAGGGGGGGACACGCACCCACACACGCACCCACAGAGAGGCGATGTCCCCGTCCCCACTCACCCGGTAGTCGGAGAACTGGGAGAAGCTGGAGTCGAAGGTTTGCTGGTGCGCGGCGATGAGGAGCGCGATGAGCTCCTGCTGCTCCGCCGACAGCCCCCCCGGTGCCGCCAGTGCCAAGCGCCGCTGCCTCCGCAGCGCCCGGCGCCGCCGCACCACTTCCTCCGGCATAATCACTGCCACCGGCACCACCGTCAGCACCGCTTGGCCCCGCTCCGGAGACGGGGGGAACGGGGACCTCCGTGTCCTCCCCTGGTCCCTTCCTCATCCCCCCCCCTCAATATCCCCATACTCACTGTCCTTCCGCATGCCCACGTCAAGGCACTTCTGCAGGCGGCAGGCCTGGCACTGCCGGCGCTTGGCTTTGGTGATGGGGCAGCTCTGGGAGAAGGGGCAGGTGAACCGGACACCCTTGTTGATGGAGCGCCTAAGGGGGGTTTGGGGCAGGGTCATGGGGGCTGTCACTGGGGGACCCCAGTGTGTGTGTGGGGGGCAGTGGCCGCCCCACTTTGTGCCACCCCGAACCTGCCCATGGGGTTTGTTCCATCGCCATGTCCCTTTGTCCTGTCCCGTTTCAGTCTCTCAGGTCCCATTCCATCCTGTCCTGTTTCAGTCCACCTTGTCCTGTCACATCCCAACCCATCTTGGCCCACCAGTCTGTCCCATCCCACCCTCTCCCACCCCACTTCAATTCATCTCGTTCATCCCATCCCACCTTGGTCCCTCTGCTCCATCCTACCCTGTCTCATCTCATCCCATCTTGAACCACCCTGTCCCACTTCAGGCTATCTTGTCCCACTCCTCTGTTCTATCCCATTTCAGTCCATCTTGTCCACCCCATCTTCTCCCTCTGCTCCATGCCATCACATCCTATCCCATCCTATCCCATCCCATTCCATCCCATTCCATCCCATCCCATCCCATTTCATCTGATCTTGTGCTGCTCTTCTGTCCCATCCCATTTCATCCAATCTCATCCCATCCCATCTTATCCTCCTCTTCTTGTCCATCCCATTCATCCTGTTCCATCTCATCCCATCTTGTCCCATCCTGTCCCATTTCAGTCCAGTTTGTCCCCCTCTTCTGTCCCATCCCATTTCATCCCATCTTGTCCCATCCTGTCTCATTTCAGTCTAGTTTGTCCCCCTCTTCTGTCCCATCCCATTTCATCCCATCTTGTCCCATCCTGTCCCATTTCAGTCCAGTTTGTCCCCTCTTCTGCCCCATCCCATTTCATCCCATCTTGTCCCATCCTGTCCCATTTCAGTCCAGTTTGTCCCCCTTCTGTCCCATCCCATTTCATCCCATCTTGTCCCATCCTGTCCCATTTCAGTCCAGTTTGTCCCCCTCTTCTGTCCCATCCCATTTCATCCCATCTTGTCCCATCCTGTCCCATTTCAGTCCAGTTTGTCCCCCTCTTCTGTCCCATCCCATTTCATCCCATCTTGTCCCATCCTGTCCCATTTCAGTCCAGTTTGTCCCCCTCTTCTGTCCTATCCCATTTCATCCCATCTTGTCCCATCCTGTCCCATTTCAGTCCAGTTTGTCCCCCTCTTCTGTCCCATCCCATTTCATCCCATCTTGTCCCATCCTGTCCCATTTCAGTCCAGTTTGTCCCCTCTTCTGTCCCATCCCATTTCATCCCATCTTGTCCCATCCTGTCCCATTTCAGTCCAGTTTGTCCCCCTCTTCTGTCCCATCCCATTTCATCCCATCTTGTCCCATCCTGTCCCATTTCAGTCCAGTTTGTCCCCCTCTTCTGTCCCATCCCATTTCATCCCATCTTGTCCCATCCTGTCCCATTTCAGTCCAGTTTGTCCCCCTCTTCTGTCCCATCCCATTTCATCCCATCTCATCCCATCCTGTCCCATTTCAGTCCAGTTTGTCCCCCTCTTCTGTCCCATCCCATTTCATCCCATCTTGTCCCATCCTGTCCCATTTCAGTCCAGTTTGTCCCCCTCTTCTGTCCCATCCCATTTCATCCCATCTTGTCCCATCCTGTCCCATTTCAGTCCAGTTTGTCCCCCTTTCTGTCCCATCCCATTTCATCCCATCTTGTCCCACCCTGTCCCATTTCAGTCCAGTTTGTCCCCCTCTTCTGTCCCATCCCATTTCATCCCATCTTGTCCCATCCTGTCCCATTTCAGTCCAGTTTGTCCCCCTCTTCTGTCCCATCCCATTTCATCCCATCTTGTCCCACCCTGTCCCATTTCAGTCCAGTTTGTCCCCCTGTTCTGTCCCATCCCATTTCATCCCATCTCACCCATCCCATCTCATTCTGTCCCCTTCCCATCCCATCCCTGCCTTTCCCACCTGAAGAACCCTTTGCAGCCCTCGCAGGTCATGACGTGGAAGTGGTACCCGGTGGCGCGGTCCCCGCACACGGCGCAGATCTTCTCCTCCGGGGGCTCCGCATCCACGCTGCGGGGCCCCAGCACCGAGCAGGGGCTGCTCTCGGGGTCCGATGGGCTCGACACCGACATCCCGGGGCACCGGTGACAGCGGCCGGGGCCGGGAGCGGAGCCGGTGCTCCCCCCCTCTCCGGTGCCTGTCACCGCGCAGCCACGGGCTCGGCCCCGTTGCCACCGGAGCCCGGTGGAGTTTGAACCTTGAACTTGGGGCTGCGGCAGGCGGGGACAGGAGCGCGGGGGGGGGGACGGGGACAGGCGGGCACAGGCAGCAGGGTGCAGAGGGGGTGACAATGGCTGGGGTCCCCCCCGTTACCTCCATTACCCCTGCTCCCCCCCAGGTTCTCCCAGTCTTTTCTTGCCCCCTTGGGGTCCCCCCACTGTGCTCCCCATCCCCCTGCCTCCCTCCTGTGCCCTGAGTACCCCCTGTATCTTCCCTGGTCTCCTCAGTCCGCCGGGTCCCCCCTGGCTCCCCCTTGTCCCCCCCATCCCCCCCAGTCTCCCCCTTTTCCCTAGGTCCTCGCATTCCCTCCCTTTCCCCCCCCAGTGCCCCCTTCTCCCCCTGTTTTCCTTCTGCTCCTCCCCTTTTCCACTGGGTTCCCCCATACTCCCCAATCCCCTCTGGGTCCCCCTTGCCCCCCCCATGCTCCCCAGTCCCCCCTTGTCCCCTCCCTTTCCCCTCGTGTCCCCGCGGGGCGTCGAGGCGCGGATGGGGAGGGGGGGGGCGTGAGACACGCGGAAGAGCTTGTCCCGCCCCCAGCCCCTCTCTCGATTCCCATTGGCTGCCGCAGCCGTCACTCAGCCAAGCCCCCTATAAAGGCAGCGGCGGGCGCGGGGCTCCGCACACCGCCAGCGGCGGCACCGGAGCGGCCATGAGCGAGGTGGGCACCGGCCCCGGGGGCTCTTCCTCCCCTTTCCCTTTGTATTTAACAAAGAACCGGGCCTCCAAAGACCTGGAGGGGGGGATGCTGCAACTGGGGGGGGGTCCCGGTAAATGCCCCCGGTTCGGGTTTGCTACTGGGAGCCCCGCGTCACCCCCGGGCACCCCGTTCTTTCCGCAGCGCAGCCCCAATGAGTCCCCCTCGGCGGCGGAGGCTCCCGGCGGGCAGGAGGAAGGTGAGGACCCCCCCCCCCCCCATCCCCGGTATGAACGGGAGGGGGCACCCGGTGACCCAGACCCGAGGCGAGGGGAGACGCATTGGGAGGGTTGGGGACCTGCTCCGTCCTTCCCTTGTCCCTTAGCGGGGTGCTCCCTGGTGCTGGAAGGGGGGGTGCGGGTGTTCAATGGGTGAGTCTGGGGGTGCCCCTGTTTTATGTCCCCCCGTCCAGCCAAAGCCGGTGACCCCAAGAAGGTGGAGGAGGAGGAGGAGGAGATCGACATCGACCTGAGCGCACCGGAGACGGAGAGAGCCGCGCTCGCCATCCAGGGAAGATTCCGCCGCTTCCAGAAGCAGAAGAAGGAATCGGGGCCCTGAGCGACCCCCGGGACCCCCCAACCCGCGGCGGGCACCGGCTCCTGCCCCGTCCGCCCAACACCGGGGGGGGGGGGCTCAGTCCTTCCCTACCCACGGGGTGATGCTGGGGGGACGGGACACGACACAGGCGCATCCCCCCCTTTAGCGGAGGTAGCCCCTGGTGCGAGGGGGCAGCGTGGAAGTGCCGTTATCCCGGGGGGAGCCTCCGTGTCCCTGTGGGTACTGGGGACAAGGAAGGGGGGGGCACACGCAGCGGTGTCCCCCTGAGTGCGGGCAACCCCTGTCCCACCGCCCCGTTCCTGTCATTGTCACCATCCCCTTCCCGGGTGGGGGGGGGGAGTTGTAGCATATGAAGGAATAAACCGGGAGGAAGAGGAGCGCGAATGGAGCTTGGTGTGTGGGGCCGGACCCCCCCTCGTCCCCCGTGGGTCCCTGCTGGAGAGGGTGGGGGGAGCAGGGCTATAGGGCTATGGTACTTTGGGAACGGCTCATCCCGCCCGCATCTCCATCACCCTCTCATTCGGGGCTTATCCCATGAAATTCCGCTTCATTCCTCAGCCCCTGGAGCCGTGGCCTCATTTCCCAGTGCGCTGCGGTGATTAAAGATGCTGCTGCTGCTGCTCCCCCCTTCCCTCTCTTTTTCCTACCCCCCCCTTCCTTTTACCCCCTCCTTTCCTCGGCAGGACCAAGCAGCGATTCCCAGCTCCGGCATCCCTGGAGCAGCAGATCCCGGCTTATAACAAGGGAACGATGCTTTTTGGGGGGGCTAAACCAGCACTTTGGTGGGGGGGGGGTGATGTTTGCACCAGGATTTCATTGCTCGGGAGCCCTGGGGCTGGTCCGGTGCCGGTGACCGGGAATGCCGGGAATAGCTCCTTGGAAAGAAAAACAGCGCCGGGACCCAGGGGACGTCCCGGGGTTGGGCTCTGCAGACTTATTAGGGAAAAGCCAATTATAGCCCCGGGGGGGGGGCATGGGGCACGGGCACTACGGGGATGGGGTCACACCCCCCCCCCCCCCCCGACCTGTGTTAATTAGAGGGAGCTTTAATTAACGTCTAATGAGGGGGGAAGGTGGCCCCAATAGGGGACAACAGGGGGATGGGTGGCTCGGGGGGGGGGCATTCTATGGTGGGCTTCCATGTGATGAGTTGGGGAGTGCTCAGGCACTGTGTATGTCCTTGTCACCCCCCCCCCCAACCAAGCAGACACACGGGGGGGGGACAGGGATGGATGGATGGACACCGGGTCCCGGAGGTGTGAGTTTTATTAATGGCACTATGGGGATGGAGGGGGGGACACAAACACACATGGATGGGGGGGTTACAAAACCACACTGGGGAGCCTGGCGCCAGGGTGATGGGCACCAGCCGCAGCCTCTCCTCCTCCACGAGGCTCCGGCCGACGCAGGGTTGGGGGTTATGGGGGACACGGAGGGTTAATGGGGGGGTGGAGGGGGCGCGGCGGGGGGCCCCCACGACGTCATTCAGGTTCGGTCGTGGGGAAGAGACGAGAAAACGGCCAGAAAAGGGTAAAAAAACCCTCCCGGGGATGGGGTTTTTGGGCGGGGGGGGGGGGGGATGGTGTTGGGGTGAACCAGGCCCATGGGGACCCTGCAGGTCCCTGGGGAGGGGGGGCCCGGGGCACCCCGGGGCGGGGGGGAACGGCCCCAAAACTCAATGGTTGTGTCTCCAAATTGAAGAGAGCCCCATCAGTGCCCGGGGCTGGGCAGGGCAGCGGCTGCGCAGAGGAAGGTACCGACCATGGTGGGGGGGGACCCGGCGTGGGGGATTGGGGGGGACCGGGACGAGGAGCACACCCCGCTCCCCGCCGGGTCCCCGCCGCTTCCGGGGTGGGGGGGTCCCCACGTCCTGCTGGGGCATCAGGTCCCTGCATTGGGCTTGATGATGCTCATGAGGGCGTTCTTGAGGCTGCCCTTGCTGGGGGAGCGGACAGCGGGTGCAGGGCGAGCGGCCTCAGCCTCCCCCCCCCGCAGCTCCATCTCGATGGTCATGATGACTTTGGGGGGCCGGGGGCCCCCGGTGCCCGGCCCCGCGGTACCTTCCCTGCCCGCTAACCGCTATTTCTTATCCTTGCGGGACTCTCCCGGAGCTCCTTTGGCTTTCTTCTCGCTCGCTGCCTTGGTGCTGCGGCTGTGGTCCAGCATGGCGTAAAGCACCGGGGCCTATGGCAACGGGGAGGTGATGGTGACATCCTAACCCCCCCATCCCACCCCGTGTCACCAAAACAGAGGAGAGAGCATCACACCCCCTCCGGCAAAGCTGTTTCATCCCTCAACCCCTCACTACCCACCTGCCGGCTCCGCTTGGAAGCATCCTTGGCCGATCTCTGCAGCTTCCCCTTCTCCATGGCACTAAAATTGGGGAGGAAAAGGCAAAAAGGAGCTTGGAAAAGGTAAATCCAACACCACCCCCCCTCAACCTCCCCATTGCCACCAGCAGCACCAGTTTGGGGGGGGGTTCACCCCTGTTTGGTGCCAGGGCTCACCTCAGCCGGCGCTGCAGCGTTGCCTGGCGCCTCAACCAGCAGGCCCGCAGGATGTAGACGATGGCCACCACCACGGCCACCAGCAGCAGGGCCCCGCCGATGATGGAGCCCAGCACCACGCCATAGCGGGTGGGCACTGTGGGGAGTCCCCGTTAGCAGCTCCAGGATGGGAATAGGGACACTGGGAAAGGGAATTGTGGCTCCGTACCTTTCTCAAAGACATACAGGGTGACCTGGGAGGACTTGCCCACGATGTCCGGAGGGTTCTTGACGTCGCAGGTGAAGGTGCCATTGTCGGTGTAGTCCAGGTTGTGGATAACGATGGAGCCATCCTTGCGGTAGGGGTTGCCCACCCATTCCATGCGCTCCTTGAAGGTGCCCACGTCATCGATGTAGGGTTGGCCTTTGGCGTAGTGGAATATCTATGGGTGGAAAGGGACACACACACACACACAGAGACATCAGCATCACCACGGGCACCACAGCACCATAGGGCCACCCAGTGGGTGCTTACTGAGGTGCTGTCGCGGGAGCCCTCAGCTTGGAAGTGCCAAGTGATGGAGATGTCATCGGAGATCCACTCGGAGGACCAGAAGCTGCAGGAGAGGGTGACGTGGGAGCCGACGGTGCCGTACACTTCCCGTTGGGTGTACACGTGGATGGACAACGTCGGGGATGGCCCTGATGGGGTGGAGGGTGGGGGGGGCACAATCAGCTCCATGGATGTCCCCATGCAGCCACCACACAGATGGGCATTTAGTGGGGGACAGCAGCTCTTTGTGCCCCCTATGGATGGCTCCATGGGGATGTGTCCTAGTGCTGGGGCTGGCATCCCCATAATGGTCCCAGAGCATCACCAGCGTCAGCCCCAAACCGGAGACATTTGGGTACCCCCCCCCACCTCTCTCCAGGATGTGGGGCCGGGACATCGGGGCTGCAGCTTACCCGGTGCCCATAGGAGAGCAGCGAGGAGCAGGACGAGGTCCCCGGCGCCCTGCGACATCGTGGCTGCAGTGACCGCGGGGGCACCGCACCGCACCGCAGGGAGCGCCCGGCTCCGCGCCCAAGGGATCCCGGAGCACCGGGGACGAGGCTTAAGAGCGGAGCAGCACCGAGTGATGCCCGGCGGAGCCCCGCGCCCGGTCCAATGGGCGCCGAGCAGCCGGGGCGGCGGAGGCCAAGGGGGAGCCGCGCAGCCCGGTGCTCAAAGGGGACATTTAGACCGGGGTTGGGCGAGGAGGGGGCCCCGCACACAGCGCCCATTGTCCCGCCGCATTCCCGCCCGCGGGATCGGGCATTCCCGGAGGCGGAGCGGCAGGAATGTGCCCCGAGCCCTAAGGCACCGGCGCAGCCGCCGCCCCGGGGTGATGCGGGGCTACGGCGGGGGGGTCTCGCATTGACCCCGTTGTCGCCAATGGTCACCGCACGGCCCGGTCTGTGCTGCGGGTCCTGGTTGGTGTTACCGGGAGCTACCGGATGAGGAGTGAAGAGGGGGTTTGGGGTGAAAAGCTTCGAAGTTGGGGTGTCCGGAGGGTTTGGAGCAGGGAATGGGGATGGGGATGGGATGAGGCGCTGCGGGGGGGCCGTCCATCACCGTCCTCCATCACCGGTAGCGAGGGGGGGGATAACGGGGAGCCGCCGTTCTGCCCCACGGCAGCTTCGGGGGGAGACCAGGAGGTAACGGGGAGCCCCGGGGGAATAACGAAGCCCTGGGGGGTTACCGACAGCTCTGGAGGTAACGGAGGGGGGGGCGCCAGGAACAGAGCCTGCGGGGTGATGGGAACCCCCGGTGCGGGTTAACGGGGAGCCCCGGAGATAACGGGTAATAACAGGGGATGTCAACAGGCAGCGGAGAGTAACGGGGAAGTAAGGGGGGTATCGGGGGGGGGGGGGAACGGGACCGGGCAGCTCCAATGGTAACGGGCAATAACGGCGGTACCGGGACGCACCGGCGGAAGTGCGTCACAGGCACTTCCGGCGTGCGGAGCCCTCCAAGATGGCGGCGCTGGCGTTGAGGTGACTCCCGAGGGGCCCGGGCCGGGGCCGCGGAGGGACTCAGGGATCGTGTGCGAGGATCGGGCCCCGCTGTCGTTAACGGCCCCCGGTGCCCCCTTGGGCCGCTCCGTGCGGCCTCGGTGCGGCGGCTGCGGGGGTCTGGGGCCGGGCTGGCTCCGTCCCGCTCCCGGCCGTGGCCCCATGGCCTGAAGCTGCCTCTTCCGCTGCGCTGCGGGGCTCCTCGGAGCAGTGACCGGCCCCGATGCCGGCGGTGCGGGGAACGGGGGGGGGGTCCTGTCCGCTCCCGGGTGCAGGCGGCGCTGTCGGAGCCCTTGGGTGGGAGCCGGGAGCTCCATCCCCGCTCGGCACACGGAGAGCGGGAGGGATCCGGTCCCTTCGCCTTCTCTGCGCGCTCCTATAGCCCGGTCCCACAGGGCCAGCACTGAGAGAGGCTGCGGGCTGCAGCTCGGGAGCTCCTGATCGATACCACAGCCCCGGGGGGGTCCTGGTGCAAGCAGGACGCTGTGGGGAGCCCTCGGTGGGGGCTGGAGGATGCTTATTTAGGGCTAATCCTTCTCATTTCGGGCCACATCATGTCTGATGGGTGGAGGTGAGCTGGTTTGGGGCTTTAATGGGGAAAAGAGGGCTGGGAAGCAGAGGCTGTGCTCCAAAGGATGCCATGGAGCCGTCAAATGAGGCTTCAGAGCGCTGCAAACCTGCCTCATGTCAAGGCCAGGAGGGAGCCTTTGGGAAGGGAAAACATTCCCATAGGAACACACAGCGGGTGCTAAGAATAACCCAGGCTTTTGTTTGCCATCCCCACCTGTGAGGAGCTGCTCCAGCTCCTGCTGCTTTCCCTACCAGGCCGGCAAACAGAGCTTTGGCTGGGGGCAGATGTTGGGGTGCTGGGGGCAGATATTGGGGTGCTGGGGAGCTCCATGGCTGTCACTGTCACTGTCACGCGCTTGTCTCCCATCAGGACCTGGCTCCGCTTTGTCCCGTTCTCTGCAGATTCCAGCCCACATCCTCCTGGAGGGATGCCCGTGAATGCCCGAGCTGGGCTCCTCAACCCTTCCCACTCCTTTGGAGCACCACAAAATCCCTTTTGACTTCCCCCCCCCCCCACACCCCACACCCCAGCTCAGCCCCATTGGAACAAGCAGCTCCTATGCAGAGGCACGGCCATGGATGCAGGCACTGGGAGGAAGAGGAGGGAATGGGATGCTCATGGATGCAGCCTTTCCCCATTGCTGGATCCCAGCACGTGCCTTGCGTGTGCTGTAGTGAGAGGGCAAAGGAGCTGCTTTGATGCAGCTGAGCTTGGGGTGCTGCTCCCGCCTGGTTTACAAGGGGGTGTAAGAGCTGAGCAGGGTTATTATGGGCTGTTGCGAGGAGCCAGCCCATGGGGCTGAGCCTTGGGGCTCTGCTGAGGACTTCAAGCACCAGCCCAGCTTTGCTCATGATAAGATAGGGTTGAAGGCAACCAACTCCATGTGAAACTCCACCTCTTCCCAGGTGAATCCCAGCCCTATCCCGATGGATTTCCTTTGGCACTCACCAAACCTTTCCCTCTCCTCTCTTGCAGATGCGCCGGGCAGCGCCGGTTGCTGGCTCGGCTCAGCCCCAGCTTCTCCGTGCCACAGTGAGTCCCAGGGGTTACGGATCCAGCTCTTCCCTAAGGGAATCCCATCTATGGAATTGGGGCTTGTGTGCTCCAGCCCCTCTGATTCCATGGTTAGGGAAGGGCTGAGGGAGCAGCAGCACCGTCACCCCTCCATGCACACAGGGGGGTTTGGGAGCTGCTGAATCCTTCCAGTTCTTGCCCTTGGTGCTTCCAGACTTTGGGATAAACGGTTCTTCCCTGCTGCATGGGGCTGTAAGTGCAATTACAGCCTAACCCCGGGACCATTCATTCACCAGGAGCAGCAGCCAGCTCCCATGGCAGGGAAGAGCAGGGCGGGTGTTAGCACTGCTATGGAAGGTGCCATCTGCTCTGCTGTACCCCATCTGCAGGGTGCTGGTGTGCAGCCAGCAGATCCCTTGGGAATACCCTGGTTCCCTTGGGAGAGCTGGAGTGGGGGGGTTCCCACAGCAAAGCTCCATCTCCCCACACTTCCCATCTCCTCTTTTCCACAGCGTTGTCCCAATGGCAACGACGGCCAAGGAGGAGATGAGCCGCTTCTGGGAGAAGAACACCAAGTCCAACCGGCCCCTGTCCCCTCACGTCAGCATTTACAAGTAAGGGCGGCTCTGGGGTCCCTCCTCAGTGGGGTGACCCCTTCTTGGGGGCCTCCTCCAATGCTTTTCCATGCCCAAATCCTGCCCCTTTATTCCCAAACGGTCCAAGCCTTCTGTTCCATCTCTCTTTAAGCTCTCCCAGCAGACTCCCATCCCTTTCCCAAGCCGGTGCCAGCGGCATTTACCATTCCCAAGCTGCCTCTGCACATTCCCCTTTTGCTCTGGGTGGATTCCTGGGATAGCTCCGAGTGCAGGGACACCCCCTGGGAGCAGAGGGGCCCCTCCTGGGTGCTGTGGTGCTGACGAGGTGCTTGTCTTGCAGGTGGTCCCTACCCATGGCGATGTCCATCACGCACCGCGGCACCGGCGTTGCGCTCAGCTTAGGTGCGTGCACCAGCACCGGCACCGGTGGTATTCCAGTGGGATGTGTTCCACTGGGAAACCTCTGCTTTGTCATCGAATCCCAGCCAGGGTTGGGTGGAAGGGACCTTAAAGCCACAGGCAGGGACCCCTTCCACTTGGTGCCTGTGTCCAACGTGGCCTTGAGCACTGCCAGGGATGGGGCAGCCACCCCATTCCAGTGTCCCACTCCCCTCATGGGGAGCAGCATCTTCCAAGGATCTCCTCTAACTCTGCCCTCATCCACTTGGAAGGAAACTCCTCATCCCATTGCAGTGATGGCACCAGCATCCAGCCCCCTCCATCAATCTGCTCTGCAGGGTTTGACTGAGTGAGGGGAACCCTGACTGTGAAAGGCTCTTTCATTTCCATTAATGGCCTCTCCTGGCATCAGGAAGGAGCTTCTCCAGTAGCTCCCTGTTGAGATGGAAGGGATTGGGAAAGATAGGCAGGAATTGTGTTCAGAGGGAGTGGACTGCAGCCCATCCCCATCAGGGCTTGGGAATTGGGCTCCCAGTTGCCCCCTGCCTCCCCATCCAACTTGCTGGGAGCTTTCAGGTCCCTATTGCCTTTCTGCTCCCATCCATTGGCTTTTGCTGGAGCAGGAATCATCCCACAGGAGCACTGCTCCTGCCACCAGCACTGGGAGAAGGGGGGAGATCCCATTCCCTCTCCATCAAGGCTCTGTTAGGAAGCTTCTGGCTTCCTGTGCTGGCTGGAGGTGAGCACAGAGGCCCCTGAGGGGAAGAGTGGCTGAGGAGGAGGCCGCTGGTGCTGAAGGGGGAATTGCTGCTTGATCCTTGCCCTTCCTTCAGCTGCACCCTATGGGAAAGCTCCCTTGGCCTAGGAAAGAGGAGGATGAGCAGGAAAAGGAGGAGGAGGAAGCAGGGAAGGTGTGGTGGCTCCTATGGTTACACAGCCCTGGCTCTTGGCTGCTGCTGGTGCTGGGCTGTGCTGAAGCAGCCTCACTCCATCACTACTGGAGTGCAGCAGTGCAGGGATTTCTGTCCCACAGTGGGGATATGGGGGTTTTCCTTGTCCCTTTTGGCTTTGGGCTGCTTTGGCTTCCATGGCAGAAGCTTGGTCCCTGGGGAAAGCAGCACCCACACTGGGGCGATGCCGAGTCCTCAACACCCCAGGGTGCAGCCACTGCGTGGGCCTCCTCCTCCACTGATCCCATTGAGGCCGTGTCCCCAAAGCACAGACCCAGGGGCTCATTGGGGACAATGGGATGGGGGTTCCACACACTTCTGCTGCTTAACCCAGGCCTTTGTCCCCCTCAGGGGTCTCCCTCTTCGGGCTGGCCGCGCTGGTGCTGCCGCAGCCCTTCCCGCACTACCTGGCCATGGTGAAGTCGCTCAGCCTGGGCCCTGCTCTCATCTACTCGGCTAAATTTGCCCTGGCTTTTCCCTTCTCCTACCACACCTGGAATGGGATCCGGCACCTGGTGAGTGGGAGCACGAGGGAAGCGGCTGCGGCAGTGGGAAGGTGCCTTTGGGAATGGGGATGGGTTAATCAAGTCGAGAGCTTCAGGGCTATTTTTGGGGCTGTTGAAGCTGCTGAGAGCATCATTGAGCTGGGTCTGCACTGGGTGATGCTGCTTCATCCCCCTTGTTGAGCAGCCCTTGTGCTGTGAGCTTCCCAAGGGGTCCCAGCTCCTGTGCTGGGTGGAGGAGCTGGAGCACAGAGGTTCATAGAGGGCAGGAATGGGTTGGGTGGGAAAGGACCTTAAAGCTCATCTAAAGCCATGGCAGGGACCCCTTCCACTGGAGCAGGATGCTCCAAGCCCCTGTGTCCAACCTGGCCTTGAGCACTGCCAGGGATGGGGCAGCCACAGCTTCTCTGGGCACCCTGTGCCAGCGCCTCAGCACCCTCACAGGGAAGAGCTTCTGCCTCAGAGCTCAGCTCAGTCTCCCCTCGGGCAGGTTCAAGCCATTCCCCTTGGCCTGTCCCTGCATCCCTTGTCCCAAGCCCCTCTCCAGGTTCCCTACAGCCCCTTTAGGCACTGGAGCTGCTTTCAGCTCTCCCCTGAGCTGCTGCTCCCACTGGACACCGGTGGCAGGTTCGTGATGGGAACAGCATGGGATGAGCTGCTTGTGGAGCTCTGGAGGAGCCGTTTGTTGGGCAGCAGGGCAGGATCCTGCTGCTCCAGCTGGGAATGGGAGCATCACATGCGGAGCTGTGCTGCAGCCTTGTGCTCCTGGGGGATTCCAGATGGGAGAGGGTCACTGTTGTGCTCTGAGGGTTGGGTTTTGAGGTGCCTGCTCTGTACCCAGATAAAAGGGAGCTGGGTTAACCCTGCTGTTATCTCCTTTCCCGCAGGCCTGGGACATGGGGAAAGGCTTCAAGATCCCGCAGGTGAACCAGTCCGGGGTGCTGGTGCTCATCCTGACCCTGCTGTCCTCTGCAGGCCTGGCGGCCATGTGAAGGCCTCCTCTGCCTTGCTCCATCCTGAACCCCCTCAGGAGCTGCAGGAGAAGGGGGGGATCAGGCTCTGGGTAGGGTCGGTGTTATCCCAAGGGAAGGAGTCGCTTCCCTGCTCCCAGTTTGTGGATGATCAGAGCTGCTTTTTGCTCCCCCCCCCCCGGGCTGTTTCTGTGCCCTGAGCTGCACACAAAGCCGGGTCTGTGTCCTACAGGAGTGGGCTCAGGACAAGCATCTCCATTGAGCAGCCTGGGAGAGCCAGAGCTGCCAACGCCGGGCCTGCCGCAGGGATGGGTGGTGGGGCTGGATGGGGTGCTCAGCCCCACGGCCTCCATCCCCACTCATCCTGCCAAGGATAACCCAAGCCAAACGGCTTTGGGTGGAAGAGCACCCCAATTCCCTCCCTCTGGAATGCAGGGTGCAGTTTGCCCACGGCACCAGCTCCCCTTTGGGCTCTTTGCCCTTTGCAATAAAGCAGCTTTGATCCTTCACCCTGAGCCATGGTGTTGGGTGTCTGTGCTCAACACTTCCCCCTGGGACACAGCATTCCCGGGAAGCTGCTGCTTTCCAGCAGGGTCTTTGTGCCTCTTCTTGGGGTCCAGGAGCTTCAGTTATGGCTCAGATGGGCTTTGCAAAGCGGCTGCTTCACCCTGATTCCCTGTGCCCCCTTCACAGCATCACCCGGAACAGCACTGCCTCAATGGAGCAGATCCCACCAGGCTTCAATGGGATCCCGCTCCGGGGCCACCATCCCAGATCCCAACCCCTGTGCCATAGCCATGAGAGACCTGCATGGAAACCAATGTCTTTGGGCTTCCAGCCCCGTGCTTCCCGCTGTTTGGCTTGGAAGAGGCTTTCCCTGCCTATGGAGCCACCCCAGTGCTCATCCCGAACATGGGTATTTATTAGGACTGGTTTAAACCCCTCTTTTCCCAATTGCAGCTAAACCACGGCACCGGCTCCTTCCACCCCTTCCTCCTCCTCACCCTTGGGGCTGCAGGGAGGTGTCCGGGGGCTCAGGACCCTTCCCTCCGCTCCGGATTGAAGCGAGGTCCCTTCGGCATCAGCGGGGGCCGCGTTCCCGGTGGGTTCCCTCTGGAAGAGGAGCGGGCCATGAGCTCCTCCTGCTGGCTTCGGCCTCAAGGGAGCCGCATCCCGAAGGGAAGAGGCGGCTCCCCCCCCCCCCGGGTTGTGCCCGTTGTTAGCGGGGGGGGGATGCGGAGCCCGCACCGTGCCGGTGATGCGGGTGCGGAGCCCGTTGCGGGCGCTGCTCAGCGCCGTGCCCGGATGGAGGCACTGATGGAGCAGCCGCTCCGTGGCCGCGGCCGAACGCGCCGTCAGGTCCAGGCGCGCCGGTGGGATCCTCAATGGCATCTCCCACGTCCCCACGAACGAGCCCCATGGGGAGGCCTGCGGTAAAAGGGGGGTAAAGGGGGCCCCAGGGAGCACCCCAATGGGTGCTGGGAGGGGGGGGACCCCCCATGGGTGTTTATGGCTCACCTGGGAGCGGGGTACGGAGGGGAGCAGATGCCCCCGGTCATTGGCGATGATGCGTGTGGAGCCCTCTGAATGCTTGGGGGGCTGGGATCGGGGGGGGGGGGGGCAGGATTAGGTTGAGGGGGGTCCCAGGGAGGCCAGGCCGGGTCTAGAGGGGTCTTGGGGGAGCCCCAAGGGGACCAGGTTGGGGATGGGGCAGTTTGGGGGGGTCCTGGCCAGAGCTGGGGGCTTAGGGGGGGTCAAAGTGGGACTGGGAGGGTCCAGGATGGGGCTGGGGAGCCTCATTCTGGTAATGGGGGTCCCAAGGGGCTGGTCCAGGACCGGGGGGGGGGTCTTAGGAGGGGCTGGGGCAGAGCATAGAGGGGTCCAGGGACACCAGGTAGGGGCTGGGGCATTGCTGGGGGGTGGCTCAGGGGGTCCCGGATGGAGCTGGGGGGTGTCCAGGATGGGGCTGGGGGGTCCCAGGGGCTCAGGTGGGAGCTGGGGGAGCCTGGGGGGTGCCAGGACCGGGTCCGGGGGGTTCCAGGGGGTCCCGGGGGGTCCATTCTGGTGCGGGGGGGGGTTCGGGTGCCGGGGAAGGGGGGGTCCAGGCGGTACCTTCGGGCCCGGCAGGGGCACGCTCCAGTTCTGCAGGCGGTGGGCGCTGAACGCGTCCTCGTACTGCGGGAGAGAGGGGCCGGGCAGCGGCGGCACCGGGACGGGACCCCCCCCCTAGAGCCCCGGTACCCCCCTTTGCCCCCCATTGCCCCCCGTTATCCCCGGTTTCGGTTCCCCACCCCCACCTGCCCCGCTGTGTATCCCGCCGCCATCATCCGCCGCGTTCCGTATCCTGGCAACAGAGACGCGGAACGGGGTTTGCGCGCCCCCTGGCGGACCCATCGGGCGCTGCCGGCGGGGGTGTGATTCAGGTCCCTCCGCATTACCGATACCGGTGTCCCCCCCTCATTACCGATACCGGTGCCCCCCCCTCATTACCGATACCGGTGCCCCCCCCCTCATTTCCGATTCCGGTGTCCCCCCCTCATACCGATACCGGTGTCCCCTCCTCATTACCGATACCGGTGTCCCCCCCCCTTTCCGATTCCGGTGTCCCCCCCCATTACCGATACCGGTGTCCCCCCCATTATCGATTCCGGTGTTCCCCCCTCCTTACCGATACCGGTGTCCCCCCCCTCATAACCGATACCAGTGTCCCCCCACGCATTACCGATACCGGTGTCCCCCCCTCATTACCGATACCGGTGTCCCCCCCTCATTACCGATACCGGTGTCCCCCCATTACCGATACCGGTCCCCCCCCGCCATTACCGATACCGGTGTCCCCTCCCCCTCGTTACCGATACCGGTGTCCCCCCCTGTTATTGATACCGGTGTCGTCCCGCCCTCCTTACCGATACCGGTGTCGTCCCCCCCCCCATTACGGATACCGGTGGCCCCCCTCTCATTACCGATTACCGGTGGGCCCCCCTTCATTACCGATACCGGTGCCACCCCCCCCATTACCGATACCGGTGTCCCCCCCCATTACCGATACCGGTGTCCCCCCCCTCATTACCGATACCGGTGTCCCCCCCCATTACCGATACCGGTGTCCCCCCATTACCGATACCGGTGTCCCCCCGCTCATTACCGATACCGGTGTCCCCCCCCCTTTACCGATACCGGTGTCCCCCCCTATTACCGATACCGGTGTCCCCTCCTCCTTACCGATACCGGTGTCCCCCCCCCTCATTACCGATACCGGTGTCCCCTCCTCATTACCGATACCGGTGTCCCCCCCCTCATTACCGATACCGGTGTCCCCCCCCCATTACCGATACTGTCCCCCCCATACCATACCGTGCCCCCCCCCTTCGTTACCGATACCGGTGCCCCCCCCCCCCATTACCGATACCGGTGTCCATCTCCCCCCATTGCCCCCCCACAAGCAGCATCTGGTTCTGGGTCAGGCTCCGGCTCTGCCCACCCCAAGCTCTGGCTTAGGGTCAGGATCAGGTTTAGGGTCAGGGTTTAAAGCTATTTGGGGGGGGGGGGTGGCAAGGGGCAGCCCCCCCATGGGGTCAGGGTTAGGATCGGGCTGAGGCAATCCTAAGGTTATGGGCGGAGTTAAGGCTGTTTGGGGGGGGGGGTGCTTGTCGTGGAACTGATCCCCCATGGGGACAGGCTTAGGGTTAGGGTCAAGTCTAAGGTCAGGTTTGGGGTGCATGGGGCCATGTCTGTGTGTGCCCCCCCCAGTACCCACAGGTACCCAAAGGACCTTCCCAAAGGGACCTTTTAGGTGGTGGGGATGTGCGACACCCTGGGATACACCGGGATACACCGGACACACTGGGATACACCGGGATACACCGGGATACACGGGACACTCCGGGATACACCAGGATACACGGGACACACTGGGATACCCCGGGATACACCGGGATACACCGGGATACACTGCCCCCACTGGGATACACTGGGACACCCTGGCACACTCCAGACAAACAGGGATACACCGGGACACTCTGTGGACACGCTGGGACACACCAGGATACACAGGGATACACTGGACACACCGGAACACAGTGGGATACATCCGACACACTGGGATACACTGGGACACAGTGGGATATACTGGACACACCGGGATACACCGGGACACTCTGGACACACTGGGACACAGTGGGATACTTCGGGACACACTGGGGTACATCGGGACACACCAGAATACACCAGGACACTCTGGACACACCAGGACACACCAGAATACACCGGGATACACCGGGATACACCGGGACAGTCTGGACACACTGGGACACAGTGGGATACACTGGATACACCGGGATACACCGGGACACACTGGGATACATCGGGACACACCAGGACACACCGGGACACACTGGGATACACTGGGACACACCGGGACACACTGGGATACACCAGGACACATCGGGATACACCGGGACACTCTGGACACACCGGGACACAGTGGGATACATCGGGACACACCGGGATACACTGGGACACACTGGACACACTGGGACACAGTGGGATACACCGGGATACACCGGACACACTGGGACACACTGGGACACACTGGGATACTTGGGACACACTGGGGTACATCGGGACACACCAGAATACACCGGGACACTCTGGACACACTGGGACACTCTGGACACACCGGGACACACCAGGACACACCGGGACACAGTGGGATACACGGGACACACCAGGACACACTGGGACACACTGGGACACAGTGGGACACACCGGGACACAGTGGGACACACCGGGACACTCTGGACACACCGGGACACAGTGGGATACACCGGGACACACCAGGACACACTGGGACACACTGGGACACAGTGGGACACACCGGGACACACCGGGACACAGTGGGACACACTGGGACACACCGGGACACAGTGGGACACACTGGGACACAGTGGGACACACCGGGACACAGTGGGACACACCGGGACACACCGGGACACAGTGGGACACACTGGGACACTCTGGACACACCGGGACACACCGGGATACACCGAGACACTCCGGGACACACCGGACACACCGGGACACACCGGGATACACCGAGACACTCCGGGACACACCGGGACACACCGGGATACACCGAGACACTCCGGGACACACCGGACACACCGGGACACACCGGGACACACCGGGACACTCCGGGACACACCGGGATACACCGGGATACACCAGGACACTCCGGGACGCTCCGGCCACGCCGCCTCTGGATTCACTTTGACTTTATTTCTTTTCCCGATTCATTTCGTTCCGCTTCGCCTTTTCCCGGTGCCTTTTTGCCAATCCCGGTGCCGGTGGCGGCTCCTCACCGGAGACACCCAATTGCTAAAGCCAATGTGAGGGAAGGAGGGGGGGGGGCTACCGGGTGACTCCTCCCCCCCCCCCCCCCATCCATCCCCCTCCCCCCCCCGGGGCGATTCGGGGCCACCCGACACCAAAATGCGATTGGGGGGGGGAGGGGGGTACGTAAAAAACGGGGCAAAACATCCAATAAAACGTTAAAGGAAACCCCACCGGGGCTGCGGAATCCCCAAGCGGGATCCCTGGCTTCAATTTATGCGGCGCGGCGCGACCGGATCCCGGCGGGCGGCGGCTCCCGCAGCGGAGCCGGATCGGTGCGGGGCTGGTGCTGGTGGTGATGATGGTGGTGATGGTTGGGGTTACAGCGCCGGGCAGGTGACTTGGTGCCGGATGCCCTCATTGCAGATGAGAGCGGCCGCCCGCTCGTCGCCGTCGCCGTGCTGGCACTGCATGTAGCTGATGCCGTGGGGCGAGTAGCTGTGGTGGGCGCAGACGTTGCAGGGTCGGGTCATGGTGCCGCCGGTGCTGCTCCTATGGGATTTGGGGGGGGAAGAGTCAGCGCTCACCGGGGTCCCCTCGGTGCCCACTGAGTCCCTGTTGTTGTGTGGTGGCACCCGTAGGTGGCCATCGGTGCTTGGTGATGCTCCATGGAGCACGGTGATGCTCGGCAGCACCCATCAGTGACTGTTGGTCCCTCTTGGGACCCAGCAAAGACTGTGGTGCCCAGCACCTATCTGCCCTCCTCAGTGCCCAGTGATGCCCCATAGACCCAAGTGGTGCCCAGCAGCACCCAGTAGCACCTATCTGCCCTCCTCAGTGCCCAGTGATGCCCAGCAGCACCCAGTAGCACCTATCTGCCCTCCTCAGTGCCCAGTGATGCCCAGCAGCACCCAGTAGCACCTATCTGCCCTCCTCAGTGCCCAGTGATGCCCAGCAGCACCCAGTAGCACCTATCTGCCCTCCTCAGTGCCCAGTGATGCCCCATAGACCCAAGTGGTGCCCAGCAGCACCCAGTAGCACCTATATGCCCTCCTCAGTGCCCATTGATGCCCATCAGCACCCAGTAGCACCTATCTGCCCTCCTCAGTGCCCAGTGATGCCCAGCAGCACCCAGTAGCACCTATCTGCCCTCCTCAGTGCCCACTGATGCCCCATAGACCCAAGTGATGCCCAGCAGCACCCAGTAGCACCTATCTGCCCTCCTCAGTGCCCACTGATGCCCAGCAGCACCCAGTAGCACCTATCAGCCCTCCTCAGTGCCCAGTGATGCCCCATAGACCCAAGTGGTGCCCAGCAGCACCCAGTAGCACCTATCTGCCCTCCTCAGTGCTCACTGATGCCCAGCAGCACCCAGTAGCACCTATCAGCCCTCCTCAGTGCCCAGTGATGCCCCATAGACCCAAGTGATGCCCGGCAGCACCCAGTAGCACCAGTGATGCCCCATAGACCCAAGTGATGCCCGGCAGCACCCAGTAGCACCAGTGATGCCCCATAGACCCAAGTGATGCCCAGCAGCACCAGTGATGCCCCATAGACCCAAGTAATTCCCACCAGCACCCAGTGCTGCCCACTGGTCCCTATTTCCCCTCAATTCCCACCGATACCCGGCAGACCCCAGTGATGCTCATCCAGTGTCACCCCTCCGGTACCCCTCAGTTCTGGTGCTGCCCCACGGTGCCCCGCTCACCGGCAGTCGCTGCAGGCTCGCTGGCATTCCTTCCGACGGTAGCGGCAGATCAGCGCCCAGATGAGCAGCGCGGGGAGGCTCAGGAGCAGCAGCGAGCCCAGGATGGAGCCCACGATGATGCCCGCTTGCCGCCCTCCTACGGTGCGACCACAGCCTGTTACCGCCGGCCTCCGCACCGGCTGCCACTGAGCACCGCGTCCGCCGCACCCGCACAGAGCCGCCCCATGGCCCCGTCCCCGTGTCCCCGTGTCCCCGTCCCGCACTCACTTGCAGCCGGGCTCAGGTTGAGCTGGCACACCGAGTACCCCACGCGGTTGGTGACGCGGCACTGGTAGACGCCGGCGTGAGCCTCGGAGAGGCTGCGGATGAACAGGTCCCCCGGAGCTCGTCCTGCAGCCGGGACAGGCGGAGGCGTCAGAGCCCCAGGGCACGGGCACGGCGCGGATGTGAGCACAAACAGGAGCTCAGCACCGGCGCTATGAGCAGCACCCATGGGAGCCGTGGCACGCACAGACAGGAGCACCCAAAGGAACCCTGAGCATCCCCTGCACCCATGGGAGCCGTGGCTCGCACAGACAGGAGCCATGAGCATCCCCTGCACCCATGGGAGCCGTGGCACGCACAGACAGGAGCCATGAGCATCCCCTGCACCCATTGGAGCCGTGGCTCGCACAGACAGGAGCACCCAAAGGAGCCATGAGCATCCCCTGCACCCATGGGAGCCGTGGCACGCACAGACAGGAGCACCCAAAGGAACCGTGAGCATCCCCTGCACCCATTGGAGCCGTGGCACGCACAGACAGGAGCACCCAAAGGAACCGTGAGCATCCCCTGCACCCATTGGAGCCGTGGCAGGTACAGACAGGAGCACCCAAAGGAGCCATGAGCATCCCCTGCACCCATTGGAGCTGTGGCTCGCACAGACAGGAGCACCCAAAGGAGCCATGAGCATCCCCTGCACCCATTGGAGCCGTGGCTCGCACAGACAGGAGCACCCAAAGGAAACATGAGCATCCCCTGCACCCATTGGAGCCGTGGCTCACACAGACAGGAGCACCCAAAGGAGCCATGAGCATCCCCTGCACCCATTGGAGGCGCGGCTATGAACATACATGAGCACCCAAAGGAACCATGAGCATCCCCTGCACCTATATGAGCCCCCCGGGGCTGTGGCATGGTGGGGCTCAGCCCCACAGCACCCACCTTGAATGGTGCCAGAGGGCAGGCATCCTCTCCCCCGTAGCCATGAACATACATGAGCACCCATAGGAACTCACCCATGAGCATCCCCAGCACCCATGGGAGCCCCCCGGGGCTGTGCCATGGAGGGGGCTCAGCCCCATAACACCCATGGGAGCCCCCCGGGGCTGCGCCATGGGGGGGGCTCAGCCCCATAACACCCATGGGAGCCCCCCTGGGCTGTGCCATGGTGGGGGCTCAGCCCCATAACACCCATGGGAGCCCCCCGGGGCTGTGCCATGAGGGGGATTCAGCCCCATAACACCCATGGGAGCCCCCCGGGGCTGTGCCATGGGGGGGGCTCAGCCCCATAACACCCATGGGAGACCCCCAGGGCTGTGCCATGAGGGGGATTCAGCCCCATAACACCCATGGGAGTCCCCCGGGGCTGTGCCATGGAGGGGGCTCAGCCCCACAGTACCCATGGGAGCCCCCCGGGGCTGCACCATGGGGGGAATTCAGCCCCATAACACCCATGGGAGCCCCCCTGGGCTGTGCCATGGGGGGAATTCAGCCCCACAGCACCCATGGGAGCCCCCCGGGGCTGTGCCATGGAGGGGGCTCAGCCCCACAGCACCCATGGGAGCCCCCCGGGGCTGTGCCATGGAGGGGGCTCAGCCCCACAGTACCCATGGGAGCCCCCCGGGGCTGTGCCATGAGGGGGCTCAGCCCCACAGCACCCATGGGAGCCCCCCAGGGCTGTGCCATGGAGGGGGCTCAGCCCCATAACACCCATGGGAGCCCCCCTGAGCTGTGCCATGGGGGGAATTCAGCCCCACAGCACCCATGGGAGCCCCCCGGGGCTGTGCCATGGAGGGGGCTCAGCCCCACAGCACCCACCTTGGATAGTACCGGAGGGCAGGCGGCCCCCGCCGTATCCGTCCGCCAGCTTAGCCCATTGATAGGCGAGCGGGGAGCTGCCCCCGCGGCTGTAGCACCGCAGCAGGACGCTGCCGCCCTCGATCTGCTCCCCCTCGGTCCAGCACTGCGGGGTAACCGGTTTCTCTGCGGGGACAGGGACCCGGTCACTATGGGGCCAACGGGGACCCATGGGGAAGGGGACATGGAAAGGGGGGACGGACACACACACACACTGACCCTGCACGGTGACGATGACCTCATGCACGGCCACGGTGTTCTTCTTCACGCGGCACTGGTAGGTGCCGGTGTCGGAGACCTGCAGGTCGGCCAGGCGGATGGAGGCATCGTGCTGGCTGGGGTCGGTCTGCACGAAGGCGACGCGGTCCTGCAGCCCCGAGCCGCTGCCGTAGTTCACGTGGTGGTCTTGGTAGGACAGGAACTGGGAGGGGAGCAAAGGGAAAGGGGGGGGGGGAGGCTGAGGAGGGCTGGTGCCGATGGGGGGGAACCTAAAACTGGCAGCTTGGGTGAGGGGGAAATGCGCTGCCCGGTGCCTGCCTCTCTGTGCTGGACCCTGTCTGGTCCAGCCCCATCTCACCCGGTCCATCCCTGCCCTGCCTGATCCATCCCTGTCTCACCCGGTCCATCCCTGCCCTGCCTGATCCATCCCTGTCTCACCCGGTCCATCCCTGCCCTGCCTGATCCATCCCTGTCTCACCCGGTCCATCCCTGTCCTTCCAGGTCCATCCCTGCCCTGCCTGATCCATCCCTGCCCTGCCTGATCCATCCCTGTCTCACCCGGTCCTTCCAGGTCCATCCCTGCCCTGCCTGATCCATCCCTGTCTCACCCGGTCCTTCCAGGTCCATCCCTGTCCTTCCAGGTCCATCCCTGCCCCGCCTGATCCATCCCTGTCTCACCCGGTCCATCCCTGTCCTTCCAGGTCCATCCCTGCCCTGCCTGATCCATCCTTGCCCTTCCAGTCCTTCCCTGCCCTGCTCAGCTCTGTCAGACTCTGCCTGGTCCTTCCCTGCCCCGCCTGGTCCATCCCTGTCCTTCCAGGTCCGTCCTTGCCCTTCCAGTCCTTCCCTGCCCTTCCAGTCTTTCCCTGCCCTGCCCGGCTCTGTCAGACTCTGCCTGGTCCTTCCAGACCATCCCTGTCCTGCCTCATCCATCCCCGTCCTGCCTGATCCATCCCTGTCCTGCCTGATCCATCCCTGTCCCTCCTGATCCATCCCTGTCCTGCCTGATCCATCCCTGTCCTGCCTGATCCATCCCTGTCCCTCCTGGTCCATCCCTGTCCCGCCTGATCCATCCCTGTCCTGCCTGATCCATCCCTGTCCCTCCTGATCCATCCCTGTCCCGCCTGATCCATCCCTGTCCTGCCTGATCCATCCCTGTCCCTCCTGATCCATCCCTGTCCTGCCTGATCCATCCCTGTCCTGCCTGATCCATCCCTGTCCTGCCTGATCCATCCCTGTCCCTCCTGATCCATCCCTGTCCCTCCTGGTCCATCCCTGTCCTGCCTGATCCATCCCTGTCCTGCCTGATCCATCCCTGTCCTGCCTGATCCATCCCTGTCCCTCCTGATCCATCCCTGTCCCTCCTGATCCATCCCTGTCCCTCCTGATCCATCCCTGTCCCGCCTGGTCCATCCCTGTCCCTCCTGATCCATCCCTGTCCTTCCTGATCCATCCCTGTCCCTCCTGATCCATCCCTGTCCTTCCAGACCATCCCTGTCCTGCCTGATCCATCCCTGTCCCTCCTGATCCATCCCTGTCCTTCCTGATCCATCCCTGTCCCTCCTGATCCATCCCTGTCCCTCCTGATCCATCCCTGCCCCTCCTGATCCATCCCTGCCCCTCCTGATCCATCCCTGTCCCTCCTGACCCATCCCTGTCCCTCCTGATCCATCCCTGTCCCTCCTGATCCATCCCCGTCCTGCCTGATCCATCCCTGTCCCTCCTGATCCATCCCTGTCCCTCCTGATCCATCCCTGCCCCTCCTGATCCATCCCTGTCCTGCCTGATCCATCCCTGTCCCTCCTGATCCATCCCTGCCCCTCCTGATCCATCCCTGTCCCTCCTGATCCATCCCTGTCCCTCCTGATCCATCCCTGTCCCTCCTGATCCATCCCTGTCCCTCCTGATCCATCCCTGTCCCTCCTGGTCCATCCCAGCCGTTCCTGCCCACCGGGACGGCAGCCGCTGGCACCGCTGGCACTCACCACGTTCTCGGGGTTGGTGCGCTCGGGCGTGATCTGGATCCACTCGATGCCCACGCCCTGGGGACCGTTGTCTTCGGGTTCGAGCACATAGGGACAGCCCAGCTTCACCGAGTCACCCTTGGCCAGGTACAGCACCTCCCTGCCCTTGCTGTTGATCCTGACGGCCAGGAGGAGAGCTGGGGAGAGAACAGCACCCATCGCACCGGCACCCGCACCCACAGCGCCCCACATCCATCAACCCCCGACCCACGGGGAGCAGGGACCCCATCCTTGGTGGGGCTGACAAAGGGAGGCGGCTGCTCCATGCCACCAACACGGGTGCTCTGCTGACCACGGGGCGCATCCAAGCACCCTTGGGGTCCCCTCCATCCTCAACGGCACCCCCGCGGGAGCCGGTTCAAGGTGCCCCGGCCGTACCTGGCATGAGAGCCAGGAGCAGGAGCAGGCTGGCGCCGGGCCCTGCCATGACGCTGCAGCCGTGCGGGTGCTGAGGAGGAGCGGGAGCAGGCGGCAGCTCCGCGGAGACGGGGCAGCGGGGCCGCTCGGGGCCGCTTTTACATGCTGGGCCGGGGCGCTCCTCCCTGTAGGGAGGATGCCTTTGGGATGACTGAGTGGCTCCAAGCTGTGCGTGAGCGCTGCCGCCCTGCTCCACTCCCTACCCCCTAATTAACCGTGGCCGTGGTGTGGGAGCCCATCTATAGGGATGCAGTGATGGAGGCTTTAGGGGGGGGGACGGGACCAGAGCATCCTGGCTGTTGGACCCCATAGATGGTTATCCCGGTGGGAAAAGGGGATGCTGTGGGAGCATCGTGTGAAGGTCCTCCAAAAGATCTTGGTCTTGGGGCAGGATTTGGGGGCAATTGGAGGTTAAAAGTGGGGTTTGACCCTGGGTTAAGCTCCTGCAGATTCCTCCTCTGGTCCAGCCCATTGGCCAGTGGCCACAGGGATGCTGCAGCCGTGTGGGACCGTGTCACCCACCAAGGCCACGTTGGTGGCACTGGTGAGATACATGTGGAGATGTGGCTGAGAGTCCAGGCCACAACCCATGGTGTGGGGATGTGGTGGCACAGGGACATGGTGGGACAGGGCTGTAGGGGCATGGCAGCACCAGGGTGTCCTGGTGCAGCAGTAGCAGTCATTTTCCTCCTTCTTAGTAGCTGGTGCAGTGCTGTGTGCAGCATCTGGGAGCTGAGGGCAGGGGACGGGGACAGGGATGCTCGGACAGGGATGGAGTAGACAGGGATGCTTATCCGTGAATGGAGGGGACAGGAATGTTTGGCCCTAGATGGAGGGGCCAGGGATGTTTATCCGTGAATGGAGGGGACAGGAATGTTTGGCCCTAGATGGAGGGGCCAGGGATGTTTGGCCATGAATGTAGGGGACAGGGATTCTTGGCTATGAATGGAGTGGACAGGGATGCTTGCTGTGAATGGAGAGGACAGAGACGCTTGTCCATGGATGGAGTGAACAGGGACACTTGGCTATGGATGGAAAGGGCAGAGATGCTTGTCCATGGATGGGGGGGACAGGGATGCTTGGCCATGGATGTAGGGGACAGAGACGCTTGGCTGTGAATGGAGAGGACAGAGATGCTTGTCCATGGATGGAGCGGGTAGGGATATTTGGCTGCAGATGGAGGGGACAGGGACTCTTTTCAATGAATGGAGTGGACCGGGACACTTGGCTATGGATGGAAGAGCTGGGATACAGCTGCTCTGCTGCGGGTGCTGCGCTCTGTCCCCACTGTGCTCCTGTCCCCACTGCGCTCCCCATCCCCACTGCAGTCCCTGTCCCCACTGCAGCCTCTGTCCCCACTGCGCTCCCTGTCCCCACTGCACTGTCCCCACTGCGCTCCCTGTCCCCACTGCGCTCCCCGGCCCCACTGCGCTCCCTGTCCCCACTGCGCTCCCCATCCCCACTGCAGCCCCTGTCCCCACTGCAGCCCCCGTCCCCACTGCACTCCTGTCCCCACTGCACTCCTGTCCCCACTGTGCTCCTGTCCCCACTGTGCTCCCTGTGCCCATTGCAGCCCCTGTCCCCACTGCAGCCCCTGTCCCCACTGCAGCCCCCGTCCCCACTGCGCTCCCTGTCCCCACTGCACTCCCTGTCCCCCCACTCCCCTCCCCACTGCGCTCCCTGTCCCCACTGCAGCCCCCTGTCCCCACTGCACTCCCTGTCCCCACTGCAGCCCCCGTCCCCACTGCGCTCCTGTCCCCACTGCGCTCCTGTCCCCATTGCAGCCCCTGTCCCCACTGCGCTCCTGTCCCCACTGCGCTCCCTGTCCCCACTGCGCTCCCATCCCCACTGCACTCCCTGTCCCCATTGCAGTCCCTGTCCCCACTGCGCTCCCAGTCCCCACTGCAGTCCCTGTCCCCACTGCGCTCCCAGTCCCCACTGCAGTCCCTGTCCCCACTGCGCTCCCCATCCCCACTGTGCTCCTGTCCCCACTGCGCTCCCTGTCCCCACTGCGCTCCTGTCCCCACTGCACTCCCTGTCCCCATTGCAGTCCCTGTCCCCACTGCGCTCCCCATCCCCACTGTGCTCCTGTCCCCACTGCGCTCCTGTCCCCACTGCGCTCCCTGTCCCCATTGCAGCCCCCGTCCCCACTGCACTCCCCGTCCCCACTGCAGTCCCCGTCCCCATTGCAGTCCCTGTCCCCACTGCGCTCCCTGTGCCGTGCCCCGCGGCGCAGCTCGGCCGCGCTGGCCCTTCCCAAGTCCGGACCGCCCGAGCCGGCTCCACCGCCCGGCGCAGCCACCCCGAACGCTGCCCGGGGCCAGGAGCTGCTCCAGTTCCTGGCCCGGAGCTGAGCTCACCGCGGCCGGGTCCTCGCCTGCTCCGGGCCGGGGTTTGGGGCAGGGCTCGGCACGTGTTGAGCCGCGTCTGTGATTGCGGGGCCCCAGAGCTCGGCCTGGCCCCGGGGCAGGTTTGGACCCCCCCGGGGCTGTGACAGCGCCAGGAACCGGGGGTGGCACCGCCGGAGCGGCCGGGGATGGAGACCGGAGCCCGGCTCCCAGCACCGGGGACACACAACAGCCGGGGAAGGGCCGGGGAGAGGCGACGGAGGCGGCTCCGAGCCCCGGGCACGTTCCCTTGTGCCGCTCTCGTTATGGCTCAGCTGCTCTGACCATTACTCAGAGGCCACTCCTCGGCCCTCGGAAGCACCAGGGCCCAGAGCCGAGTGGATGCGAAGTGTTTGCATCATGCTCTGTGCATTGGCACGGCCACAGGGCCTGGGGGTGATGCGATGGGGAGGTGGTGGCACTGCCAGGGCCAGGCAGGGCTGGGTGTGGGGAAGAGCCTGGCTGGCTCCTGGGGACACCCAAGGTTGGGGGGGGCAAGGACATAGGCACGTCCAAGAGCTCTGCCCATGGAGACAGGCAAGAGGTGACCTTGGTGCCGGGAGTTGGGCAATGAGCCTTTGAGCTACTCCAGCCCCACGGGCAGCTCCTGACCCCAAAACCCCCAGTGAGAGAAGGGTGAAAGCATCTGCTCATAAACATCTCTATTGAGAGAAAACAGCCTAAGCAAGCACCAGCCTCCTGGTGAAGCCTGGTCCCACACCACGCCGGGTCTGGCCTGAGGCTACGATTGATCGTTGCTGGTCCCTCAGCTGAACCTGGGCACAGAACTTCTCGGGCACACCAGAGTCTCTGCAGAGGAAAGAAAGCATCACAGTCAGGAGCGGGGCTCCGAAAGGGATCCTCTTGGATGAGGATGGAAAGGAAGTTGGGAAGCAAAGGAAAGCCGTAAGGATACAGTACATAGAATCACAGAACGCTTTGGGTGGGAAGGGACCTTAAAGCTCATCTAGATCCATGGGCAAGGATCCACTTCCACTGGAGCAGGATGCTCCGAGCCCTGTTGAGCACTGCCAGGGATGGGGCAGCCACAGCTTCTCTGGGCACCCTGTGCCAGCGCCTCAGCACCCTCACAGGGAAGAGCTTCTGCCTAAGAGCTCAGCTCAGTCTCCCCTCGGGCAGGTTCAACCCTTGCCCTGTCCCTGCATCCCTTGCCCAGGTTCCCTGCATCCCCTTTAGGCACTGGAGCTGCTCTGAGCTCTCCCCTTCTCCAGGCTCCATCCCCAGTGCTGAGCCCTTCAGGGGCATCACCTGAGCTCCTGCAGCTTCTGCTGCTTGAAGCGGGCGATGCGCTGGCGGTGGCGCTGGGCCTCCTCCTGCACGCGCTTGAACTCCTTCAAGGCAGCCGCTCGCTCCTGCACCAGCTCCTGCTGCCGCTCCTCGACCTGGTGCCGCACGGCCCTGGCGTGAGCCTGGCGCTCCGCTGCCCTCCGCTCCTCTTCAGCCTTCTCCTTCTCCATCTGCTCCCTCTGCACCCTGTGGACAGCGCGGTGTCAATGACGGCTACGGCCCCGCACCACCTGAACCGCGGTGAGCACCGGGCCCCGTCCCGCTCACCGGAGCATCCTTTGGAAGTCGTTCCGGTCCTGCTGCGCCTGCACGGCCAGAGCGCGCTCCCGCTGCTCCATCTGCTCCTGGCGGCTCTGCCTGAGCCGCGCCTCGGCCTCCGCCTTCAGCTGCGCCAGCTCCGTCTCCTTGCGCCGCCACGTGCGCTCCGCAGCCTCCTGGCTGCGCTTGGCTCTCAGAGCGTCCTGAGCAAGGGGACAGCGGTGATGGGCATAGAATCAGAGAACGGTTGGGGATGGAAAGGGTCTTGAGATCATCCAGATCCAACCCCTGCCATGGGCAGGGACACCTCGCTCTAAACCATATCACCCAAGGCCTCGTCCAACCTGGCCTTGAACACTGCCAGGGATGGAGCATTCACAACCTCCCTGGGCACCCATTCCAGTGCCTCAGCACCCTCACAGGAAAGAATTTCCTCCTTAGATCCAATCTAAACTTCCCCTGTTTCAGTTTGAACCCATTACCCCTTGTCCTGTCACTGCAGTCCCTAATGAAGAGTCCATCCCCAGCATCCCTATAGGCCCCCTTCAGACACTGGAAGCTGCTCTGAGGTCTCCACGCAGCTTCTCTTCTCCAGGCTGAACAGCCCCAACTTTCTCAGCCTGGCTCCATACAGGAGCTGCTCCAGCCCCTGAGCATCCTCGTGGCCTCCTCTGGACTTGTTCCAACAGCTCCATGTCCTTTTGATGTTGAGGACACCAGAACTGCACACAATGCTCCAGGTGAGGTCTCACCAGAGCAGAATAAAGGGGCAGGATCACCTCCATGGCCTGCTGGTCACGCTCCTTTTGATGCAGCCCAGGATACGGTTGGTTTCTGGGCTGCAAGCGCACACTGAACCCGGCTCATGTTCATTTTCTCATGGACCAGCACCCCCAAATCCTTCTCCTTGGGCTGCTCTGAATCTCTTCCCTGCCCACCCTGTAGCTGTGCCTGGGATTGCTCCCACCCATGATGATGATGGTGGCGAGGATGATGAGGGTGAGGGAGGCAGCAGGGAGGCAGCTGCTCACTTGCTCTGCCTGGCGGTCCCGGGCCTTCTCCTGCATGGCTCTGAGCTGCACCAGCTCCTTCTCCTTCTCCATGTGGATTCGCTTCTGCTCAGCTTCCAGCTTAGCCTCACGCTCCTGAAAGGGGCAGAGCCTCATGGGTGCTCCCAGCACAGCTGCACCCACACCAGGGCCCTGTGGCAAAGGCCTCTCACCAGCTTCTGCCTCTGGTACTTGAGCACCCGCTCATCCTCCAGCCGCTCCAGCTCCCGCTGCTCTGCCTTGAGCTTCTGGTTCTCAGTGTTGATCCGTTCAATCTCAGCTTGCATCTGCCTTTGCTCCTGCTGCCTCCGTTCCATGTCCTGGCAACAGAGGGTGAGCACCCAGCCCCTTCCAACACGATGGAAATCCAGCCCCTCCTGCTCCCTGGGCTCCCACCTTCAGATCCTCCTGCTTCAGCTGCTCCAGGCGCTGCAGCATCTCCTGTGCCTCCTGCTCCTTCTGCTCGGCCTTCAGAGCCCGCTCCTCTGCGTTCTTCTCTATCTGCCTCAGCAGCCCCTGTCTCCCTCTGGGAAGGAAGGAGCAGAACGTTCCCTCTACCCCTGTGCCATTCCCACAAGTGGAAATGCCACCACGGCCATCGTCTGCTGCCTGGTCCCATCGGGGTGCCTGGGAAGAGGCACCTGAGCCGCTCCTGCTTCCTCCTGCGCTCCAGCTCCTCCTGCATCTCCTCCGCCTTTTTCCTCTCCACCTCCATCATTCTGTCGAGGCGCTTCTCCTCCTCGTCCAGCTCTTTGGCAATGATCTGTTTCTCTAGGATCTGTGCCTTGCGGACCATCTGGCACTTGGCACCGAGGATCAGCTGCGGGGACAAGGGGTCTCCTGCTCTCCCAGCCACACTTGGATGGACACATGGATGAGGAGCAGGGGAAAGGAGAGGAAGCCGCTGGGCAGCAGCCGGGCTTTGGGTGTCCTCACCTCACTGAACTCCTTGATCTCATCCTCCTGCTCCATTCGCATCCTGCTTGCCCGCTGCAGCACGTGCTGGGCCTGCTCCTGCGCCTCCTCCTCCACCTCCTCCTGCTTCCCCCTCTGCTCCTGCTCTGCCGCTGCCTTGCGCTGCTTCGATGCCTCCTGAGGGGACAGAGCTCATCCCGTTTGTCCCTGCGTGCCCAAAGCTGGGCTGAGCCTGCCCGAGGGACCCCGCATGGAGCCGAGGGGCATCCCCATCCCACCCAGGGACAGCTTTGGGCACAAGGGATGCTTTGGATTGCCCGAGGGATGGAGGTGGGAGCTCCAGGGCCATGAGGCCGGTGTCCACCTCCCTCCAGAGCCCAGGAAGGACAGAAAAGGACAGGACAGGAGGGAAATGCCTACGAGAGCGGCCTCCTTCGCTGCTTTGAGGGCTGCTTGCTTGGCCTCACGCTCCTCCTCGGTCAGGACTTGAGCTGCTGCTTTGATGCGATGGAAATCCTCAGCAGCCAGGATGAGGGATGCTGGGGGCTTCTCCTCAGGGGTGCTGGGATGGGGACAAAGAGCAGTCATGGGTATGGGAGTGTCTGACAGATCCCCCCTGTTCCCTTCCTGGGTGCCCAGGCCAGGAGCAGCTCCTGGACCAGGATGGGAGTCACCCTGGAGCAATGCAGGAAGCACCCAGGCTGTGGGATCCCGGCTCTCCCAGTCATGGGGGCAATGGAAAGTGGAGGGAAAGCTGTGATGCACAGGGGGCCAGGACACTCACCCTGGAAACCCCAAAACATCCAGCAACAGAATACCCATCTTTCAGCCCAGCTTGACTTTCCCTGTTTTCCTTTAGGGAAATCCTCCCCCCCAATTCCTTTCCCCATCCCATCCCTGCTCCCATGTGCTGCATTGAAACCTCTGTCGATCCAGGGGAGCTGAAGGTGCCTTTCCCCTATGTTTGGGGCCACTCAGCCTGTTGGAAGCTGCTTGGCTTTGACTCTGCGCTCCCAGGAATGCAGCTGGGATGAGAGGAGGAAGCACCCTGTTCCTTGCCAGCGCCGGGCCATGGGGCCAGCGCCGAGCCACGAACCCTGCCATGACTCAGGCTGTGGTTTGGAGGAAACCACCGAAGCTCCTGGTGCCCCCATTTCCCTCCTTGTAAAAATGTGGATAATAACACGGGGAGCTGGAAGGAGTTAATGACTCTGTGCATTACTCAGGTACCATGGTGACGCGTGCGGTGGAGGAGCGTCCATTAACCAAATGCATGGGGCACTTTGAAGCTGTTGGGGACTAAGAATTTACTCATGATTATTGCGTGTCACCTTTCATCCACCCTGGTGAATAGGACCAGATACCTGCATAATGATCGCTCCCTGGCTGCATCACAGCATCGCATTCCAGGACGCTTGGCACAACGGCCACAACGGCACTAATAAATGCAATGACACCTCGGGGCCGCTGCTTTGGCCAGCCCCGTGTTTGGGGGAGCAGCTTGGGATGGTTGAGCCCTGATTTTCAGGGATTGCCCCAGCACAGTTTCCATAGGAATTGGGTTCGTGGCTTTGGCACCGGAACGGGAAAGGAGCAAAAGCAGCTTCCAAAGCTGGGAGCAAAACCCAAATCCTGCCTCTGAGGGCTTGGTGGGTGGAAGGCTCAAAACAGGAGGCAAGGATGAACCTCGCTCCAAACAGCAGCAAAGAGGGGATCTGAGCTTAAAATGGAGCTGCTGGGGTAATGGCCCTGCTCTCGTTACGTGCTGCAGGTTTCAATGGGGGGCAGTGATGAAGGGGGTTCTTATAAAGCAGCCCCACAGGGTGACACAGAGCTCCTGGGGGCTCCCATAGGGCTGGTTGGGATTGGGATGTGGGAGGCAGCGTCCGATGCGTGACGGGGAGCAGGAGCCCTCGAGGAGCTCAGAAGGTGCCTTTCTGGCTGCTGGGGAGGTTTCTGTTGGGGTTTTATGGGGTTTAGGATGATTCAGTGCCTCTGTGGCAGGGCCCATCCCTCCTGCACCGAGACATTCCCTATGTCCATGCACTGGCTGCTGCTCGGACCCAGACTTACATGAGCTCCCGGATGGAGTCCTTGGTGATGATCAGGGTGGTCTTGGGCTTGTACTTGCCATGGGGCAGCGCTCTGGGGGCGGTCCTCTGATCCCGAAGCAGCACAATGGGGCTGCTGGGCTGCGATGGCTGCAAGGGAAGATGGGGTTTACTCCAGGTTTCCTCCTGCTGCTGCTCCCGGGGCTCCAAGACCCTCTCACAGCACCGCAACCGGTGCCACGGGGGCATGGGAAGGGGTTTTTGGCCTCTGAAGGGCTGATGGGGACATGGGGGGGAACCAAACGCGCCCCACGGCGCTGGGTTTACCGGTGTTGGGGTCCCAGCTGGACCTGGTGTGGATGAGGAGCCCATTGCTGCCTGCTCAGGGCAAACCCTCACCCAACCACAGCCCTGGCACCTCCGTCCTGCTGGGCCCTATGGAACTGGGCAGGACTGGGTGGAAACGGGCCCCAAAGGAGCCCAAACCCCCTGGGAGCTGGTGAGGAGGGGGAGGCAAGGAAGAGCTCAAGGCCTGGCCTTGCAGGGCAGTCACTGGCAGGGAGCACAGGGCAGAAACCAGTCCTCCCAGTAGGGCCGGGACTGGTGCCAGGGCCTTTGCTCGGGTTGAGGCTGCCACCTAGTGAGGAGTGCCGGGGACCCCGCTCGCTTCCCGAGGGCAGGGGGGATGCTCTGAGCCCATCCATAGGCAGGATCTGGGAACCTCTGGAACCCCCCGAACCAGCGGGAGGTGGGAAGCAGACACAAGTGGTTTCCCTTGGAATTCCCATTTAAAATCCTGCTGGAACAAATCCCACTGTGCCCTGGGAACGCTGCCGGCAACAGCCCCTGGAATCCTGGAATGGGTTGGGTGGGAAAGGAGCTTAAAGCCCATCTAAAGCCATGGCAGGGACGCCTTCCACTGGAGCAGGGTGCTCCAAGCTCCAAGCCTTGAGCACTGCGAGGGATGGGGCAGCCACAGCTTCTCCATTCAACCCATCCCAGTGTCCTACCACCCTCACAGGGAAGAGCTTCTGCCTCAGAGCTCAGCTCAGTCTCCCCTCGGGCAGGTTCAAGCCATTCCCCTTGCCCTGTCCCTGCATCCCTTGTCCCAAGCCCCTCTCCAGGTTCCCTGCAGCCCCTTTAGGCACTGGAGCTGCTCTGAGCTCTCCCCTGCATCTTCACCTCTGTCTCCATCGCTCACCCACGGGCCCCAAGCAGGAGGTGTTGAACCAAAGGGTTTGGCCCTGGAACACCCGTGCAAACAGCGATAACGGGGCCGCCCGCTGTCCCTGGAGCCAGGAGAGCTCCTTGGACAAGGCCTGCATTAATGGCAGGGATTAATCAGGCTGCCTCGAAGGCCTCGGAGATAAGGGTTGATCATAAACCTGCCCAGGGCTTGGTGGCTGGGAACGCTCCCAAGCTGCAGTTGGGAGCGGAGGTAATCTCCATTCCATGCTTCCTTCCTCTGCTCTGGAAAGCCAAAGGGGGGTTGGCAAAGCCTCTCTGGACAGATTTGTTCCAGGCAATAAGGCCCAGAAAGAGGAAATTCAAGGCACAAATAGGGACAAGCACCGAGCGCAACCATTCCCACCGCTGCCCCATGGCACTGAGGGGGTGTGAGCTGCAGCCCTGCCCTGGGCAGCCTGTTCCAATGCCCAAGCACCCTCTGGGGCAGGAATTGTTCCTCAGCTCCATCTAACCCTGCCCTGGTGCAGCTTGAGGCCGGTTCCTCTTGTCCCATCCCTTGTTCCTTGGGAGCCCCCTCCTGGCTCCATCCTCCTGGCAGGCACTTGAGGCAGCCATCAGGTCCCCCCTGAGCCATCGGAACCCCCCAGGTCCCTCAGCCCTTCCCCATCACTTGTGCTCCACGCCCTGCTCCGGCCCCATTGCCCTTCTCTGGCCCCGCTCCAGCTCCTCAACGCCTCTCTTGGAGTGAGAACTGGGGATGTTTTCCCAGTGTGAGACAGGGCAAACCTTGGACCTTGCATCCTGTGCAGGGTGGGGAGAGCCGCAGCCATAAACCCCAGCGGGAGCACCCATAGAGGTGATAACGGGGCAGGGGGGAGGACACAAACCAAACTCCATCGTCCTTGTCCCTGCGCACCCGGGTCCTGCTGCGGGGAGGGAGCTTTCCCCCCTTCTCCAAGTGTGGGAGGAAGGAGCTGGGCTCTGTTTATCTCAGCCCAGGGCACCCAGCCAAGAGGTCAGAGACTCTCCAAAGGGACCAATCTCATAGCTCCCTGATGAAAGGCTATGGAATGCTGGCCAGGAGCTGCTCTGGAAGCTTCCAGCCCTTGCTCCAAGGGTGTTCATAGAATAGTGAGGGTTGGAAAGGACCTTAAGATCATCCAGTTACAACCCCCTGCCATGGGCAGGGACACCTCGCTCTAAACCAGGGCACCCAAGGCTTCGTCCAACCTGGCCTTGAACACGGCCAGGGATGGAGCATTCCCTGGGCAACCCATTCCAGTGCCTCATCATCCTCACACTAAAGAACTTCTTCCTTAGATCCAATCTAAACTTCCCCTGTTTCAGTTTGAACCCATTACCCCTTGTCCTGTCACTACAGTCCCTAATGAAGAGTCCCTCCCCAGCATCCCTATAGGCCCCCTTCAGACACTGGAAGCTGCTCTGAGGTCTCCACGCAGCTTCTCTTCTCCAGGCTGAACAGCCCCAACTTTCTCAGCCTGGCTCCATACAGGAGCTGCTCCAGCCCCTGAGCATCCTCGTGGCCTCCTCTGGACTTGTTCCAACAGCTCCATGGCCTTTTGATGTTGAGGACACCAGAACTGCACACAGTGCTCCAGGTGAGGTCTCACCAGAGCAGAATAAAGGGGCAGGATCACCTCCATGACTGCTGCTCACGCTCCTTTTGATGCAGCCCAGGATACGGTTGGTTTCTGGGCTGCAAGCGCACACTGAACCCTGCTCATGTTCAGTTTCTCATGGACCAGCACCCCCAAGTCCTTCTCCTTGGGCTGCTCTGAATCTCTTCTCTGCCCAGCCTGTAGCTGTGCCTGGGATTGCTCCCACCCAGGTGTAGGACCTTGCCCTTGGCATGGTTAAACTCCATGAGGTTGGCATCAGCCCACCTCACCAGCGTGTCAAGGTCCCTCTGGATCCCATTCCTTCCCTGCAGCGGATCAACCGAACCCCACAGCTTGGTGCCATCAGCAAACTAAACCCTTACATCGCATGTGCTAGGACTGCGGAGCTGAGCCCAGCTCCTCTCCTTTTACCCCTGAGCCTCCTGTCTCTCACTGAGCAACAACCAGGAAAGGGGGCGAGGACGGGGCTTGGGATGCTCCTGGGAGGCAGCGGGGATCCCATGCTTTCCAGAGGGCTCCCACAGCAGAATTCCAGGGGCTGCAGCCGCATCCCTTACCCGGGAGCTTTGGGAACAGGGATTACAGAGGGGATGCGGTGAGCGGGGCAGGATGAGGCCCTGCCCTGTGTGTGTGTTTGGGGGCAAGCAGCCGGTGGTGCCCCCCCCCCTTCCCCGTATCCCGGGGCTCTTACCTGCTTCTTCCCGAACAGCAGCTCATCCTCTGCTGCGGAACTCTGCACCTTCCTGCAGTACCGGCCACGGGGCGCCAGCATGCTGCTGGGCTGTGGGGAGAGGGCACCGGGGGGTGGTTGGTACCGGGGGGTGGTTGGTACCGGGATTGGTATCGGGATTGGTACCGGGATTGGTACCGGTGGTACCGACCGAGGCCGCGCTCATAATCCCGCTCCGCTTGAGCTCCTCTAACAGTCGCCGCGGCAACGCGCCTCTTCCCCACCCCGTTACCTGGCAACCGCGGGGCATTAGTGAGCGTGCGTACTGGGCGGCGGAAGAGCGCACTCCGTGTCCGGGGGGGGATGTTTGTGTGTGGGTGTGTGTTGTTGTGTGTAGGCGCCCGTGCACAGGCAGACACCGCCCTGCGCACGCACACGAGGTGTTCCCCCCACCCACGACACCCCTTCAACGCTCACACCCCCCTTCAACCCCCTCCCATCACCACAACCACCCCTTAAATCCCCCCCTCCCCGGCAGAGAGTGAGCAGCGCCAGCCCCGCCCCTCCCCGCTAACCCCGCCCCTCATTGTTAGCCTCACCCGTCCCTCCACGTGACCTGGCTGCCGCCATGCTGCACGGCGACGCCGCCGGGTCCTAGTGCCCCCCCCCCCCCGCTGGGCTCCTTCCCCCCCCCCCCATGAGGGTCTCCCCTTCCCGAGCCCCTTCCGCATCACAATCATCCAGCCTGGAAACAAGAGGAGCCGTTTATTGAGGTGCAGGGGGGTGCCCCCCCAACACAAAAGCGGCGGGGGGGGGCACTGTGACCCCCAAAGGCACTTGTGGAACTGGGGGGGCGGGGGGGGTGGGCGGGTGCAGCGGCACCAGCCA